ACTAAGAATTCTACATAGATGGCCAAGTATTTCTTCAATGCCATTTTTTCCTAAACTTCACTCTCATCTAAATTCATTTCAGTAAGCATTCACTCACCGCTTAATATATATTTCTGTGTTTGTCGTATTTTCTGTGTCTGAAAGCTGAAACTCTTTGGCTGAATTGTCTTTTAAGTTGATGTAAGATATGTTTTTATAAAAAGATAAATTTCTTATAAGAAAATTTCATAAAATATTTCCCTATAGTACGTTTACTATCAGATCGAGTCTTTTCTTCTTTCCAAATAATAAAATAATATGAATTTAGACCTCACGCAAAAACGGTATTTAATATGCTATACCGTTACTTTACTACAAAATCTCGTACCTAAAGCTTATTTTATGTTCGTAATATTTAACCGTAAAATTCGTAAAATTCTTAACCAAGTTTTTGAGTAATTAAAATTTCAGAAATGGTGTTTTAAAAAGTGCTAGCAGTTGCCGAAATCTGAACGCTTTGCACTTACCAAATCTTACTGATGTGTATAACTATAAAGATTTGATAGAGTATGTATCTAACAAGTAGTGTAAAAGAACAGAAAAAAGGTTTATTCAAAGTTTTATGGAATGAAATTTTTGAAAGGAAAAATTAGTGTTTCTCGATTTAATAATATTATTCTAAACTATATATGCCTCCGTTGTCAGCAGCAACTCAAAAAAAAAAAAAAAAAAAAAAAAAAAAAAAATATTTACAGCTGTGAAAATGAACAAGAATAAAATAAGAAATCAACTTCAAATTCCCTTGACGTACAACTCCTTTTAGCAAAGGAAAGGATAAGATAATAATCAGTAACATACTTTAAGATTTCTTGTGCGTTAATTAAAATAAAAATCTATTAAAATTTATGAACAAAATATTTCCAAATTTTTCTTACATGTCAGAATATATCCCACAGCGCATAACCCCATAAATAAATGGAATGGAAATTATGGAAATTGCATATGAAATATACTCAAATGCTATATTCAAATAGAAAAATTAAATAATGAAAATGTATGCTTCTTAGAGAATTTTAGGGTAAGGCCAGTTTGGACATATTCGGACATATGTTAATTTAGCAATTTTATGGTGATTTCATCTACGTCAGCGTTTCTCAAACTTTTTTCTAGTGAAACCACTTTTACAAATTACGATCTTTAGCGCACAATCTTACTCTTCTCCTTTTCCAACCCAGCGGCCCAACGGTAACGTCGCTGAACACTGATAGTTCGGTCCGAGGTTCGAATCCCGCGAAAGGTCTGACTGCATGGGTGTTTTCGTGGTTTTCCCCGTGTGTAACGTGTATACGAGCCGGTTTCCCTTAAAACGTCCTCCACGAGGGCATCCCTCCCTTAAGGCAGATAGCCCTCGAGTGCTTTGCCGTAATCTAATCTAATAAACCAAACCAAAGCAATATCTTAGCATATGATACTAGCAATATACTTATATTTTTTTTTAAATACAATTCATTAAAATTAATTTAATTTTATGTTAGTATTAAGTTAATAGAAAAATTCGTTTTAGGTTATTAGGGTTTGGCTAATGTAAGTTCTCATATTTAAAAAAATTTAAATAATGTTGGTACTCACATGGATGAGTTCGCCGATACTTCTTTTATGTCTGGATGTACGCTGGTACTCTTAAGCCTGATGCACATACATGAAGTCGATTTTTGTCCTTTGTTTTTATATGATTTAGTGATAAAAATCCTTTCTTACCCTGATATGTAGAAGCAAACTGAATTATAACTTTAAGCAACATTGAAGCTAGCTCACTATATTTCATTTTCACATTTTTATTTTTTTTCAAGAAATTAACGATACTTTCTGCTAGGACTTTAACTTTTAAATCCGGTCTCATTAGCTAGTTCAATTAACTGTTCTTTTCATTCACTGATACATTATTTTCAAAACCGCAGTGGAAAGGATCAAGAAACCAGGAAAATTCGTTATATTTACCACTTAGGAAAGAAGTTTCAAATTTTGACCTCAGAGCTTCGAAATACAAATATATGTCATTGCATAATTCTTTCCCAATAATAATATAATTTTCTACTAAAATATGATTCCATGAATGATTCTACGATGGTTAGAATGGGCTAAAAATATTCATGTTCTGTGCAGCTAACCCAAAAATTAAGCTTACAATTAAACCCTTTTAATTTCTCATCGGCTTTCAGAACTGTCAAAGAATTCAGAATTTCAGAACTGCCTGTATAACTTAGTGCATGTCATCAGCAAAAAATAATATAAAATATAATTACTATCGTTTACAAATAACAAGACATTTTTGCAAATCTAGGAGGGTCATAAAGGCACCACGGACTACAGTTTCAGAAATTCTGATCTATGGTTATTACATAGTAATGTCATAAAATCCCTTAAAGAGTGAACAAAGGCAAATATAAATTTATATTTTTTTTTTCAAAGCTTAACTTTTTCTTCTATAAATTCGTACGAAGTAGTTTTCATGGGTAGTCACCATATTTATGTGAGAGAGTTTCGAAGCCGTTGACGCTGACACCGTCGCGAGAGTAGTTGAGAGGTCTGGTTTCGTTGAAAAAGCTGATCGTTGATTCATGTGTGCACATTGCGAGGTAAGCTTCGTCGCTCATGGAAGGAACTTGTTCTTAAACTGCAACATATTTATGCCTGATAAACATGTTATATTGCTTTATTTGCATTCTTTTATCTTATATTCTTCCTGTACTTCTAGCGTATAAAGGTTACATTTGTGGCTACATGTGTAGTCATTAGGTTATTTTGTAGCAGGAGACGTGAAAAATGTGCAGTGCCCTCAACGCGACTAGAGCCCTGGACCTCTGTAATATGCGTCGAGCATGCTTCCAGTAATACCACGAAGGCATATGGAAAGGAGAGAGAAAAATTCCTTAAATACTCCTCTCTTAAAGGTCGACTAGGGATGAGGGGGCCCATTCGTCAAATCCTGGTAGTGACAGATTATCATCCACTGCCTTCTAGTTTGGGCGCCTCTTGTAGAGTCATTAGTTTATTTTGAAGGAGACATGAAAAATGTGAAGTGCCGTCCCCGGGACTCGAACACTGGACCTCTCGAATACGCATAGAGTGTGTTTCCAATTACAATAGGAAGGCATGCGGAAAAGAAGGAGAAAACACATTATACGTGTTCCTATGCATAAAGATTTGTTTTTCTACGCTCGACATAACTTCGGACGAATTGTAATTACATACACACGAAAAGCTTAAGAGACGAATTATAAGAAAAGTTAGAAAAAGGGAGTGATGACTTCGGAAAGTATGAGAAAGACTGATTTTACACCTAAGCCATTTTCTCTCTCTTGCGTATGAAGTTAGGAACAAAGTATAAAATTCTATTTAAACATTAAATCTGAAAGGTTTACAGAGTGATGAATAAATATTGCACATGAATATATGGCATCATGGATAATTTCATGAGCTGACAAAATAATTTCACGCCTTCCATCAAAGCAATGAAAAAAAAAGCCTTAGTCCAAGTACATGGTTTTGCTTATAGCACAGATATCCACTGAAAAACAGCAATGAGTACATTACGATTACTGTATTCCGAATCTTACAGTATATTCTAGGTTTGAAACGTTTCGCACTTCACACACCATTTAAAGTGTTTAATTTTCGAAAATATTCTTTGATCTTTGATATGCGATAAGCAGGGAATAACTGAATCTGATTAGGAGAGACATGACTCTATAATGTAACCCAAAACCATAAAGAGCTCAGTATTACAGTGTTAGCAGTTCTTGTCCATAAAAGAAATCACCACAGAAAGTACAAATTATTGGTTAAATTTCTAGAAGTCTGGTTCTTATTTCTCCCATTTCTTAATCTAGAATTGGCACATGAAAACAAATTTTTCACAAATCAAAACTCTAAGGAAACGAGCTTGTATAGAATAAAAGTAAATATAAATATTTTTCAGCTTCAGAAAATTCAACAAACTCAACTTATTTTCGACGACACTTAATAAATTTCTCGAACAGTTTTTACTAAAACAGCCTTTGAAATATTACATAGACCACCTGAAGACACCGCATAGAGACTTGCAAGTAATGACTCATTCGTAAATACATAATTAGTAAATTGTCGATATCGTTTAGGCATTGTATAAAATATCTATATCTCACGTCATGCCGATAACGCATAGAATAATCCAACGATCATTACTAATTTTATTATCACTTAATCGATAATTGCCAAATAATTTGAATACAATATTTTTATTTATTTATTTTCCCATACATATTATTATTTGTTTCTACACTTTCTCAAACCTTCAGAGGATGAACAAAATATTCATTAATTCATTATTTATTTTGATTCAAATGAGCAATAAATGTAAGCGCATTTGATGCGTATAACCAAACTGATTCGCTGAAAGAACCACGTTTTATGAATATGCTTTCCGACGGTATGTTCCAACAAATCCGTTCAGAAAAGTATGTTAAATCATCTTTCTTTACAGTATGGGGTTTTAAAACTTTCATACCATTTTATTTATTTATTTATTTATTTATTTTGTCAGTTTGAAATATGATAGCAGAGAAACTGTGAACAAAAATGTAATAAAACTGTTCAAATAAATAAATGTAAAAAATAAGAAAAAATTAATATTTTTATGAGGAAAACCTGAAAACGTTCTACAGAATTCCAGGGTTTCGTGAAATCATGTTGCAATGTCACTGCAATACGTTACGGGTATTCCGATTTGGTAATAGATACAATATCAGCATTTTTGTAATCGGGGAAAATGAGTTGCGAAAGGGCTAAATGCCATTATTAAAGTTCACTTTGTTGAAATGGAAGTCGTGGATTATTGTGTATTTAATTTTTGATATGAAATTAATATTTGAGATTCGTGGTCACTAGATAACAAACTTTTCCTTTTATTTTAGTTTGTAAATCAACCAAGCTTTATTTTTTTAACTTTAATTTGGAATTTAATATTTTTTCCACAGATTCTTTAATTAGATGTATACAAAGACCTCCGTTGACGTTTTCATTGCTTCCTGTCACTTTTTTCCTTTTCAAAATACAATGAACTATGCAGTATTAAGAACAACTGTTGTAAAATTGTTGCCTTGAGCGAGAGGTGAACCCGTGACCTCTTGCCTGCCAGGTGAGTGCTCTACTAACTAAGCTACCAAAACCACAATTCTTTTTCCTTCACTTTATTTTTGTAACAGGTTAGTTCTTTTAGAATGCATTTTAATACAATACATTCAAATTATTAATATGAGCTTCTCTAAAGTCATTTGATGCGATGTTGTGATTTCCTTAACAAATTATGTGGCATACTTGATTACCTTTTTAAAAATATCTTAAAGGCAAGGTTTCTCTTGAGATCTAAGTTGTAGAAGATGCATTTAAATAACCTAAAAGGAAATATGACTGTTTTTCCTGAGAAAATACATTTGTTGATGTTGTTTAAAAATATCTGTTGTCATAAAATACTTTCTGTGATCTTAATTAAAATACAAAATTATTAATTGGTAATAGGGAATAATTTAATATCACCTAGTAAAATTTTACTTACAGCAAGAAATTTATTTGTATAATTTATAAATTTGCAAGTTTTTTTTAATTAACACAGTATCAGCCGATGATTTCAGCAGACTATGAAATACCGAATTAAAGAGGTAGTCAGCTCTGCTTGAAAAACTGACATTTTAAAAATAGTTGCAAGTTACCGATTTAAAATATCAATCAAGTCAAAAAATAGCGAGAATGTTTAGTTGCATAGTCTATTGATCTTTCATGCGAGATGAAAAATAAAAGCATTTGAAGATATTTTAAGGGAAAGAATGTGAGATTTAATTATGATAATTTCATGACTTAATTATGAAAAAGGCTAAAAATTCCATCGATTATGAAATCCTTGAGGTATAATATTTATTTATATCTAATTAACTCAAAAGAATCCAGAAGTGCAACTGGAGAGGTCTAACCCACTGACCCTGCAAACAACAAGGTATCAAAATGTTTCTGCAAAAGCAAGTATTCAGATTCATGTATTTACTATTAATACTCAGAAAACTACTGATTTGAAACAATTGTTAGGTAATGCACATATACATGAAATATATTTTTAGACTATAAGGTGATTTCAAACAACTAATTTTAGATGATCGACTAATTGTATCAGCGGATTATCAAAATGACTATACTTTGGTAGATTATATGCGGACTATCAAAATACCCGTTAATTTTTCATTCCTTTCAGATCTTTTATGTATTATCATTTATTTGTTTGTTTGACAAGGGAAGAAAGGTAGTAATTTCGGAGCATCCAATGACTCAAACATTCAATTCAAGTATTACTGAATTCGCAAAAGGCATTTTAGTATTACTGAAAGCAGAGCGAGAAATGCATGACGTGAGAATGCGCCGGAGAAATGAGGTGCTTGCGATTGTCAAACTGAATATATCACCCCTAACTCGCCGCTCGAATGCTTTGACCGCGCAAATGTAATAGCTTTTTATTGTTATTTCTTTCCGAGAGAGAAGAAAGTTCTATGAAGCATAATTTTCATGAATAATGATTGTAGCCGGGGGCTGTAAGTAAAGATGGAAGAGCCCCGATTTCCTTATTCGAAGCACAAGCAAAAGGGTTAAAGGCTACCAGGTTGCAACGTGAGGTCAGTCTACGGAATAATGTCAGAATTTTGCTCGATCTGCAGTTAAAAACATGTAGGGTTTATTATAATTATTATTAATCCTTTTTGTAGCTTACTTGCTGCTTTCCTTTTAGTTCGCTGTTATTGGTACAAGCCATTTATAATTTTTGTTTCGAATACGGTATTTAATTTTGGATTAGTACAATGATGCGTTTTTCCTAGCAAATTGCTTATTTGTTTCGGAAGTTCTATAACAAGCAATTCCTCAAATATTCACTTTTGAAGATGAATTAAAAAACTAGTTATTTAGCGATTCGGATAGAGCATACTGGTGGTTTGTTAAGTTTATAAATTCTTCAAATTTATTTTTAGTATATTTAAATTCACAATTATAGGAGTAAAATTTGTTTTCTAAATCCCCTTTCACATTTTAGATATCTTCTTACTTGCCTACTTTCGGCTTGAGCATAGAATATGTATAAATTATGTATTCCCAGCATTCTTGTTTATTTTTTTAAAGAAAGAATGCTAATTTGTCAAAAGGGGGGTTGGAAAAAATAAGCAAAACACATAAAGACTTATGAAAAATGTCAGCTAAAATGAATGGAAATATGTCGATAGTAAAAACAACAAAAAATATTAGTGGTGCATTTCTAGCCTCCACGATGAGCGCGAATTTCTAAGGTCACATTCTAGACCAAAATACACCCACCATCAGGATAAGATGGATCTCCTTGTATTTAGGAAAACATTAATATACTAACAAATTGTCAAAAAAAAAAAAAAAGGTATAGAAATGTCATAATACAGAAGTGGCGTTGAAGTTTATTTAGTATTTCCGTGGAAATTTTCTTCTGCATAATTCAAAACTAATAATGGAGCCGTATTAATTAAGTCCGACGTAGTTAGAAAAATCCCGGTATATAGACCTAAAATTATGACTAAGTTTGGATAACGAAACAGTATTACTTTATATCACGCAGTATTTTTAATTTCATTCATTTAAGGTCATTGTTACGCATAACAATTTTCATCTGCTCACAGTTATTTTAGTAAGCATACTTAGCTCAAAGAAAGTAAACTCAAATGAGATAATATTAGCTTACACTTTGAGCACGGAGCGTACATTCGGCCCTAATTTAAAAAACACAAGGAAAAGTTTTTTAAAGAGCGTTTCGAGAATATTCAGTTAAACCAAAAGATTTTAATTTGTTGCCCAAATACAAATATTGCCACACGGAGTTCAGATAAAATTTTAAATTTTGTTTCAAGTCTATATAATAAAGAGCAAATAGAAAGACTGAAAAATGCTTCATTGTGAATCAGTGATTAAAACCATTGTTAGAAATATTCAAAAATAAATAAATTAAACTTTTTTAGTAGCATAATATGAGCAAAATCAAGAAAAGTATAGGAACAGAAAATTACACTGGCGCTTAAAAATATTTAACACAGAATTAGAAAAAATGGATTTGTATTCATGTATTATTGTGTGCTAACTGCGAATACGCTCTGAGGTACTCACCACTTTTCCTCCAGTGCTCTAAGTGACTAAGTTGATAAGCCCTCCTATACTTGGTAAGACTTTATAGATGCATTGAAGTTTGAATTTTATATGCAAATATATTAATTTTCGTTTGCTAGGAATATTTTTAATTTGATTCTTTATGTTTTACTGCCATCTTTGATATTCCTTTTCTGGTTTTCAGTTAATCGTAAGCATTGCAGTAGAGCAAAAATGTGAATGAAGACACCATACTTTCCATGAATGGTAAGAAAATTTTTCTTTTGTGTTCTGCTTTTTCATCAGCAATTATTTGAATTTTTACTGCATCGCTAATTCTTTTAATGAAAGAGGCATAATATTTAGAGGTTGTATCAACACGGTAACTAATCTGTATTGTGTTAACATTTAAGAATCAGAAGAATCATTACGCTCATTATACATTGTGGCGAGTCCTATTTTGATTGCAGAGTAGTGATCAAACCAAGACATATAACTCTTTGATATCAGCTGTTTTAACTAGAGTAAACTCTTCACCAACTAAGTTAAAGCTAAGTATAATACAAAATTTACTGTACCTATGACCTAATGGGAACGAAGTAAAAAGCACACAAGCCATAATTTTGTTTATTAAAGCTTATCAGAGATCTCGTACGGTTAAACTGTACAGAAAAATTAATAATTACCTATGTTATATTTCTTCAGTGTTTCACTCGTCATGAACATAAAGATAATGAGAATTCCCTACAAATCAGTATGAATTTATCAATCCTGATCCAAAGTTTGAATCTTTTTTTTTTTTTCTGTCTTTGTCTTTTCTTGTCAAACTAATTCTGAAAAGAATATATTTTCTTCTTCTACACATTAAGCTCTGGCTTATGAAATAAAAACAATGGTTTATAAAGAGCCTAGATTTTACGTAGTTGTGACACAAAATTCTAAATATAAAATCGCAGGAAAAGTGATTGAGGGAGCCACAGATTTGAAAATAATTTTTTGGTCCGAAATTCGATGCGCAGCTGCATTCAGGTGAAGAAAGCTGTACTGCAGTCTTTTAAAAAACCTTGGCAAACATTTTCTGGGGAAGTATTTGGCAGATAACTTAACACTCTCCCCCCTCCAAAAAATGCGTTATGAAGTGTCCTTGAAGTATATGAAGCCACAGGTTGCAAAAGAACTTCAAAACTTGAAATTATCTTTCTGCCGCTATCAGTTTCAAAGTAGTTAATGGTGAATACAGATCTAGATGTTAGGGGAAAACTTCTGATACTGAGAAAAGATCTGAACAATACTCTCAATATACTTGCTGACTATATTGAGGAATTTAAGAGCAATGGTAATCTGGCCAAGTACAGCAGAAAATAGCATGTTTCTGTGACAGCATTAGCACCATTTCTAGTAATATGATTTTGACTTTAAAAATATAACTATTTATTAAATTCAAAAACGTGCTAATGGAGAAAACAGAACTCGAACGAAAAATGCACGACTATTGATGAAAAGTGATAAATTGTCTTCATTTGCATTCTTCTTTGACACCGATGGTGTGCATGCATTTATATATTTTCGAATATGCTCTTTCATTCTATATCCGAAAATATTTTGCGCGATACTGAAATTCTGATTTCGTACATGAAAACAAGACCAAAAATACTGTAGTCAAAACTGATTCGTCTAGCAATATATATATATTTGCTTATCATGAGTTTATTAAGTGCTTATTATGAATATTAGCGAGAGATTCGCTGGCAAGTAATGTCATCCAAGTGCAATATTTTTAAGAAGCATTGCTAATTTCATTATTTTGGTGAGATTTATATATTAGTATTCAGAATATTCGATAACTACGAATGATACTCTAAGAAACCAATGTTTTCTGAAAATTTTGCAACGTATTTGCAACAATTTTAACAAGAAAATGAATATTTACACCTTTTAAGGTGTTTATTAACCTTTTACACTGTCTGCTAAGTTACTATGAAGTAAGTAGAGAAAAAATACAGGTACAAGTAAAAGAAAAACCAGAATTTTCACCATTGATCGTACAATGGTACGGTTCTGCCTCAATTTTATTGCAGAGTACTAGAGGGAAAGGGCTTTCCGAGGATTACATGTCCCTCTTCCCCTACCGTTAACCTCTAGAGTTACCTTTCGGTTCGCCGTGTATTTTGAGTGCCCCTTGATGCACATACATTATTACAATAAACCCTGCCTTCTCGAGGATTCGAACCCGACCCATCGGTACGGCAGTCTGCGTCAGTGACTACTTTACCAGCCGGGGGGGGCACCAAAACCTTTAAACATATTGTGAAAACAAATTGCTTTCACAATATTCCCATCACACGATTTCCTTTAAACGCAATAAATTTTGGCGATTGTTTTCAAAACTGAATGCTCGTATTCGTTTGTCATGGTGAAATGTTACCCAGGAGTTCTGTCACCTGTAGTTAAAGTATTCTATGTCTTCGGAAAGAATGAAGCTATGTTATTCATACTGAATTGCTAATTACTCGTTTCTATGAGAAAAAACATTATTTTAAAAGGGATTCCAAATCTAAGCGAATTAATCAACCTGTTGAGTGAACGACATTTAAAGCAACTTATAAATCAGTAGCAGCTGAATGACAGATATTATTACCATCCAATACGTGAAAATGAGAAAAATCAATAAACAAACTAAAGAATTTAAACAGGTAAGTTAAAAGTTCTTCATATGTATACAGAGGTAATCTCTTTGTTATTTGCATCAGCTTTATACATTCGGTTTCGACTTTCAACTGAAAGCTAAAAACTTTATCGGTCATACTGATTGCAGACCGATCTATTATATATTTTTACTTTAATAAAAAGAGAACATTAAATTATTTTATTTTGTGAAATTTAACTGCTATTGTAATTAAATTTTATTCATTATAGTGTAATTTTCTTTCTAAAATTTGCTGTTTTTCTTTGCCTAACTCCGCTTGATGTACTTTGTATACCTCTTGCTCCAGTTCCCATAATATTTTTGAAGCAGACATCTCCAAATTTTTGTTTTAAAATTTGAGACAGTTTCCCAAAATAGGAACGAAAACGAGAAATAAATGTATTAAGTCACCCTGCTTTAATGCGCAACATGTCACGTTTTAAATGTGTGACGATATTAACATAATTTCCAGTATTATGCTTTTATCTTTAGAAATGTAGCAATTTATTAAAGTCAAGTATTTGCTGGTGTAGAAAACAGAACTCAACAGAGAATTGCACTAGTGGTGATAGATACTGGGATAAAAATGTATATATTAACTTCTTTTTAATGTAAATTCTGCCGTTATAGGTAAGTGCCCGTCATTGGGGGGGGGGAAACTAATGTAAATTCTGTTTCAAAATAGCATGTTAAATCACAGGATAGTTTGATAAGAAAATTTAGCACATAAGCAAAGCATAAAAGTTAAATTTATGTTTTAAGTTTTATCAGAATATTTTTAGATTCATTGCCCCGTTCCAGAAGTTATATTTTTCTGATATGTAATATTGTATATAGCTTTTAGCACAAGACAAACCTTCAGAAAGGTTAAAGCAGTGGTTCTCAACCTGTGTTGCTCCATACACCTCTCTTACTATTGCCAGAAGATCATTCTCCAGCCCCCTCATTTCAAAAACGAAAAAAATACATAGATAGATTTATCATTTTTAACATGTTTTATGAATTAAATAGCAAAACGTACATAGCATGTTAAAAATGCCAAAACTTGAGTAAGTAGTTTTTATACTTATAAGGTGTTTCTTCCGCTTTATTGGCATACTTTCGTGGTGTAGCGGTCTCATGTATTCGAGAGATCCGTGGTTCGAGTCCCGGCGAGGGCATTGCTCATTTTTCATATCTCGTGCTTCAATAAAAATAACCTAATGACTCTACATGTTCATAAACTAAAACCAAGTACTTAACAGCTAAGTAAACCATTGGCTCCATTTGCCCCCTGAATATATGATATCCACCAGGACGAAATTTTCCCTCTGAATAAAAACTCTTGGATTAACGCATTCGTTGCATCAGTTTTAAGACCGATGCAACTTCATTAACGAAAGAACATGTTCAACAGGCCGGATTGGGTGCAGGGAATTTGAATTGAAAACTAAGTTTCTTAAACTTTTACCATATATACTAATGTAATTGTAATCGCAAAATTAACAAATGTTACTTTCAAAGGTATTTTGATGCTTTTGTTCTCTTCAAATTTTCTTTCACAATACTTTTTTACATCTTCAAACTCATCGTATAAGTTACTGTTAGTCGCAAGATTTTTGCATGGGTAGAGGAAAAATAAAATCAATAAACTGCATTTTTCAGGAAGAAGAATACTTAAAAAGAAAGAATATTTTAAGTAAATTCGGGCATCTTATACATTTTATCACAAAAATGGAAATATCTCTCAAAAAATGGGACGAATAAGAATCCTAATCTAATAAAAAAATTGCAATCACTTTTCTGTGTTATAAATTAAGGAAAAAGAACTTAGATTGGCGTGGATTTTAAATAAAACTGTGGATGTTAAGGGAGGCTGACTCTTCCCCAAAAACAGAAAAAAAAAAGGTTTGTTCTAAAGAAGAGAAAAGTGAAGTGAAGAGGGACCTATGTCAGTCACCTTCGAAGTCAGTAGAATTTTATTTAAACTATATTCCGATTTTTTAAGATTTCTTCCAATTTACAGTTTACACTGGTGTGCTACACTTCCATATTCATTTCTCTGTGTTTTTTCTCTCTTAAATATTGGTATGCATGCAAGTGCGTGTTATATTAATTAGCATATGACGCATTCTTTTCTTGATTTAACCTCTGTAGCAAGTGCTCGCGTTTAATGCATAATATCAGAGAAGTGAGCGTCTATCTGTGTTTCAACAATGTTTCTTGAAAGACGGAGAATTTAGAGAAATGAAAGAAAGGCCAACTTGCAAAGGGGTAACGTCTGACAGAAAAATCCGACCTTGTAAAAAGCTGATATAACCTTTCACGAGGCTAAGTTTTGCCGCAAATAGCCACCAGTGAAGATAGTCTAGGTGCTGTAATCCGATGTAGGTGTCATTGAGGTCATGGGATAGCTTGGTAGGAGCGGTCTACTTTCCTGAGCAAGTTTTTCTTACTCTGCATATTTGGACGCTTCAGCATTTTAAAATAGACACCTCATGGGTTGGTATGGGAACTGTGAGAACGTTTATGATATCCGGGTTGCGGAGAGAAGTGTCCTCTTCCAGGTAATTACAACTTGTGCTTAAAATTCGCGTCTCTT